ACACCTTAAAAAAGAATTGTGCACACATGTATGATTTATGTACATATATATATATATATATATAATATATATTTTTTCCGAATTATACATTTGAAAATTTTATTTTCAGATAATAGATTATCCCTTCATTACTTTTAGATTACATACCACACAATAAAATTTTATAATTGTAAGATCTCGATATGAATTTCCATATGTAGCTTAAAAACAGAATAGCTGAATTCCGGTTGAAATCATTCTTTCAAAACTAAAAAATACTTACCAAGAAAACGATAGAAATTCATTAATAATCAGCACAAATGATACTATTTTAAGTAATTTGGATGATTCTTTATTTTTTATGACCGCCGTTCAAACAATTCTAAACTTTGGATCAAGTATATTTTATTTTATAATCGTCGTTGAACAGTCGACCCAATTTTTGGGTTTACGACTACTAATTTTCAACGCCGTAGCCTTGTAATTTTGAACCAATCCAGAAGACAAGGAAACTCCTGGATCGGTGCCCCCAGAGGTATTGATTTGTTATGGGAACATGGAGGACTTTGAGACTCGACAGATTTAACGTGCATCAGTCTCCATTTACTACACGGGAGTCTTCGACCGGCGGGGACCGAACCCACGAACTCTTGGACATGGGCCCGGCACCCCACTGACCAGGCTATCCCGGCCTGGATGATTGTTTATTGTTGTTTTCCGAATTATATAGATACAAAAATACATACTATTCTATAAAAAAGAAGAATATTTTATAACTATTGCAGTTCTGTACGCTCTGAAATCATATTTATTCATTGGAATAAAGCAAGAAATGTTGACTTCACTTTAATTTGTAATGAATTGAAGACAACAAAAAAATGTATTTTACCGTAAACACACATCTGTAACAAAATGCGATCTAGAAATCGGAAGTTTATCAGATGCAAGTTTGTTAATAATAGAAGTTAAAAATTATTGAGATGTTTCTTCAAATTTTTGGCGTGTTGTGTTTCAGAAAGAATTAGCAATGTTCTGGGGAGTTTTATCAAGTTCTTCTGCCTTTTCCATAGAGAGATTTTGTTTCTTTTTTGCTGTTAAGTAAATGGCGTCCGACTCTGCCAATGATTCCGATATAACTAAATGAAAACTCAATAAATAAAAGCCAGAAATAACCGGTCCGCTAGGGGGCGTACTCGAGTATTGCGAGAATCCTATTTTGTTTACAAGTATGTTAGAATCTCGTGATCGTTGACACTGAATGCAAATAACGCACTTTCAATCATCGTTAAGAGAAGCCCATACAGCACTCATCTTCCGAAACCTTTCCCTAGGACCTCCCAAATGCATCCCTTTCTTAAGAGGGAAGGCGCGGATAAATATGGGAAAGCCGAGGGAAATTCCATTCTAACATTCCTACGGATAACGATACGTAGGAAGTCCTTCGGAAACATCGCCTACGGATATTCCTCCACCGGTCATCCGTTAGAAATCAATCCTATGAATTTTTCTCCCTGGTTATTCCGTAGGAGCATCATAATTACTTATGTCTGTGCGTGCAACCGGCTGAGCAATTGCGCATGCGCTAGATGTGCTTGACTAGAATTTAATTCTCACCAAAGAATTTTTGAAAAGTAACCCTGCTGAAGAAATTGCGCGGAGGTATACATAGTTTGTTGCTTACAGGTGTAATCAAGTGTAGCTATGTTGACTGTTGTAATTTTGAGCTCTTCATTTATGATTCAGTAAATAAAGTAAGTTAATCGTTTTGAATAATTTTTTTCAGTTTATAATATTGTATCTATGTATTTTAAACGTTTACCACATTTTATAATTCTAATTATCTGTGTTAAAGTAGTTAATGATTTCCACGTTACTGAGTTAGGCCTAGTAACATACTTGTTCTCCGATTTTATCTTTGATATAATAAGAAATGTCTGTTAATAAAAAGAGTATTATTTTAAAGATACGATAGTTTATTATTTTGTATGTGTTTTGTTTGTATTTTGTTTATTATTTTGTTTGGCTCAGTGGGGCTTTAGTGAGGGAACTTGTTTATTATTTTGATATCAAGTCTTTCCTTCTATTGCCCCTTCTAAGCCGCATCGTTTGATTTCCACAAACAACTTGGAGTTTTTGGGAATCTAATATTGTAGATGTATTAGTAAGTATAATTATATGTATTAGTAGCCTAAGGGAAAGCCATAAGATTCAGATCTACCTCAGTAAAGAGAGTACCCGAGGAAAGTATGCGACCTTGAAACTTCCTCAGTTCTTCCTTAGGAGACTGCCCGGGTAAAGCCATCGGAAAGTATGAGACCTTGAAACTTCCTCATCATTCTTCCTCGGCTCCTCCTATGGAGTGACTTTCGGGAAGCCCGCCGGAGGAACTGAGGAATTGAAAGGTGCGGACATTTTGCATTACCGAGGAGCTCCGCGGGAGGAATTCGGGAAAAGTCGGGAGCTCCGGGGGAGGTTGAGCGAT